GCCACAATATTGTAATACGCCAAGTCGTACGAGTCTTTGATCGCATCATCGTACCCTTGCAGCTCGTCGTTGTCCGCCATTTTCTTGGGCACCTGTGTCGTCACCCACCGCACTGTGGGTTCAATGTGTTTCCACATGATTAGCAAACGAGAGAGGGTCCGGATGAGGAGTACGTTGGGTTGCACGCGAGAGAGTTCGAGAGGCGTGTAAGCCGTCTCGAACAAGCCCGCGATATCAATCCGCTCTGTCTTCATGAACATAAGACCGAGAGCAATAGTAGCCGCCGGGGACGTGAGGTTGAGCCCAAAGACCGGTTGGAATTGTTTGCTTTCGGTCGCATTGGGCTGACCCTGTGCTAGAACCCGAAGTTTTCCAATCATATCCAGATCCGCGGGGCTGTTGGCGCTGGCACCTTGACCACACATGATGAGCCCGAATGCCAGGGCAGCGGTGACGGCGTAAGCTTCTCGGTTTTCGTTGGTCACGTCGAGACGCGTGCCGAAATCTCGACCACCGATTTCATTCAGGCATGCCTCAGCCATCCGCCGGTCCTTCTTCCCCAGGTACAAAACGCCGATACCCATCAGTCCCGACATCTGCGTCCACAACCCAAGGTTCATCTCTGCCGACCCGGGTGGAAGGAGTGCGGGCGTGTGGACGGTCAACATCCTGGTAACGATCAACTCTCCGGTCCCCACGTAAGAGGCAGCCAAGCCCAAGAGCATCGCTACCGTGGTCATTTCGTGCTTTGGGGTCAGGTAGCTGAAGGTGTGCCATGTATATAAGCCGCGGAGATGTCCATTGAGACCGAGTCCAAGGATAAAGCCGGCGTGCTCGGGAGTAAGGTCGTTCGGCCTATTGAAGGCGATCCATGTGCTATCAACCCCAGGAGCTCCCCTCGATACTCGCAGTGCGGCAGCGACCCCGTTGTGGAACTCGCCCCACATACGCGCATCCTGGCTGATCATTTTGGACTGGTCCACTACGATCGTAACGCCTTGGGGAACCATTCGGACAGTGAGGTCGATCTTCGGGATGGAGAATGAGTCCGAGTCGACGTTTTCCAGCGAGCCGTACGTGTACATGGCTCTCCCGACGGAAAGCGAAAGTGTTCGTTCTGCGATAACAATGGCAAACTGGTGTTGTTCCTTTGCCAGGTCGTGCTCACTAGTTCTCTTGTCAAAAAAGTTGCTACATATCAGGGACGTAGGCACTCACTTCAAGTCCGGTCGTTCCAAGATCTTAACAGTTGTGAGGCCCGAGGATTGCAACATTCGGTCGACCTCACGGAGGCGGCGGTCGATTCCGAACCGGACGTCCGTAAACTCGCGGTTGTACATGGACGATTCCGCCGGATCGCTCGCCGTCCCTTCCGCGGCAAGCTTTGCGTCGTTCACGATGGAACCGATGGTTTCACGGTCGTCCTTGTACGCCTACTCAACGCGGATCAGCATCTTGACAGAAACCAAAACGTGATCATGAACGTACCGCCTCCCTTTTGTACCGATATGCTTCACCAAAGCCAGCAGCCACGTTATCCCAGTCCAGAGTCGCCATTTTAGCGAGATCGTAGCGGTCAATCAAGATGTACTGCGAAGGTTCCCAATCCATCGGAGGGTATTCTTGACACAGCTTCAAAGCCTCTTTAAGAGGAAGGGAGATTCCAAACGGTAACTTGGTTATTTCATCGGGAGACACGCCGTGGTTGTACATGACGGTGACTGCTGCTTTTGCCCGCTCGATGGCTGTTTGGTATTTCTTGAAGTCGGTAAGGGCCATGTAAGTGTCAAGCACGAAGCGGTTGATTGGGTTGACGCGGACAGATCCATACTCCAGCGACGGGCGAAGACCGTACACTTGGTGCACTTGAGAGATAGCCACGAAATGGCCCGATTTAGTGGGATAGGTGTTATGAAGACGAGTGGCAAGGTAGTGAAACACGTCTTGCGGCTTGTGAGGTAGTTTTGGGTCTCGCATAAACGCTGCAGAAGGCAGTTAGAATGAAATCGGAAAGTTAAGCACAACTGCGTACCGTATGATTCTGACGGCATCCAAGAGTCTGGATCTTCGGGAGCCAAAGCAGCCCAGTAGTTCGACCAGTCCATTCCGACCAAGCGACCCATGCGAACGAGAAGAGGAGCGAGGAGACGAAGTTCACGGTATTTCCCGATGGAGATCTTGAACGACTCGCCGAGTAAATGCAAAACTTGGACAGCTGGAGACGCCCATGAAGGTGGCCGAGTGATACGATAGGGGAGGGCCACTCGACTTGAAGACGTGATGGACGAAGGCCTTGGCACGCCAACGTCCGGTTTGGTCGGGAATTCGAGATGCCGCAGAGCAGAGTCGATCGATATTTTGGGGTGAGATACAGTACTTGCAAGTCGGCTCCATGCGTCCGGGATAATGTTGAGAGACGCGGTACGTTGAGACCATGCCGGCACTGGTGCCCCCTCAGAATCGCCAACACCTCCTTGAACCAAACTCTCCATGATGGCTTCGCTGCAGCACGCAAACTCCTCTTCTATAGAGCCAGCTTTCCCCAGCCTTGTCCACCGACGCAAGTAGCGGGTCCTGATATCGAACGTGATATCGGCGGGCAAAACGTATGACAACGCCATGAAGACTTGGTTGACGAATCCTCGGGGTCCAAACTCGAGTGTCGTCCTGGTCTCAGTCTTGTCTTTGAAAACCACAGTTACCGCTGATTTGACAGCATCCTTAAGATAGACAGGGATGCGGTCACCCGGCAGAGGGGAGTCGAGGATAGGATGCATGACATCCGAATCGTCTTCATCCAGTTCGGGGTCAGAGGCAGGGTTCGTTAGGCGTACACCAAGCTCTTGGAAGTCGTATGTGACAATGGCAAGCTTGTTATTTGGTCTTATGATCAATAGATCGTAGACTGGTGGTCGCAAGGAGAGTATTGGCGCTATGGAAATTGCCTGGATGGTTTGGAGCGGACGGCAGGAAACTTGGTTCTTGTGGTAAAGGATGGAAAACGTTGATACAATTTGTTGTGAAGGTGAAAGTACTGCCAACTTTCCCATGTCGAGCCGTACGTCAAACATGTGCACCACAACAGCGTTTGGGCTGAAGTTATGGAGCAATACCAGGTGAGAGCAGTAATAAGTGATCACGACAATGAGCCTACCTGTCTTCCGCCACACCGAATTCATGGATACACGATAACCAAACCTCGGGCCGCATCCGTCCATCGTCAACGACGCGGTTGCCCAAACCGTAGTCCCTCAACTCTTCGCCCGACCCGCTGAGAGCCATTCGATCCAGGGTGACACTCAATTCGTTGCGTGACTGAGATTGAGTCCTTGAATGCGATATCGGTCGTCCACGCGGTTTCCCGTCGTCGCTGGTGCGGGGCCGAGTGATGCCTTGAACAGTTTGTTTGGCAAGCGCCAGGGACGCCGCTATAGTGTCTTGAGTAGGGGTGGAAGGGATTTCATGCGAGCGGCGACCTCCAAGCGGCCGAAACATCGGTGGAGGGGCAGAGGGGCGCGGTATCTTTGCGGCTTCAAGTTGCAGGTCAGTCAAGCTTGTTGAAGTTACGTTCTTCTGAACGGGGGTTCCTTTCAATTCGGGCGATGGAGCACTTATAGCTTCATCGGACTTGTCGAACACGTATCTCCATATTCGGACAGTTTGAAAGGTTGGATCATGACTGACGAGAATGCGATTGCAAACCGAGTTGGATTCGGAAGAGGAAAACAAGACCCGTTCCGTTTTGGAGAAGGAGCGAAGAGGTCGAGGGTCATCTTCGTCGATGGGAGGTTCTTTGCGGATGGTGACGGAGGGATTGCCAGGCGGGACTGATGGTTGCCCTGGGTGGGAGCGTGACCAGGAGAGGGTGACACCACCCTCGATGGAGTGGGCGAAGCCCGCAATCTTCACTTCATCGTACGGTCCAGAGAGGGAGAAAAGTGTTGGTAACAGATCGCCCTCGGTTTCATCCGCAGCCACTACCCGCTCAATCACGACGCCGCCGGTGCTGAGCTCCCAGACGCGCTTGACATGGAACGGAAGGTTCGCAGCGTACTCGAGCCCCCCATCTTTCGTGTACATCATAACAAAACTTGTGAGGAAGATGCAGATGCATCTTGTGAGGGGAGGCTGAGCCTTACTCCCTGAGAATCTGTGGAACCCAGCACCTTTCGAGGGCGGGGGTCGGACGCCTGAAAATAGGCCAAAGGTAGCGATGAAGTCCTCGTCGGCGGTTGGTGTATACAGATGGCGCAGGGAGCCCGATGCGGCAGAAGCCTGGTTAAGAGCAGACCCGAATTGGCGGCTGAACTTGTCGCTGTCGAAAGAGGCCCAACAGGCCCAGAGCACCTGATCCTTGGCCTCCGTCTCGAAAACCCATTTGCGACGCTGAACTCCGCCGATACTCCATACAACGGTCCTATCGATCCAAAATAGCTCTTCCTCCCCGTCCGACGAAGCTGATAAGGTCCGCCGCGGTAGTTCATAAGGTATGGGAGTGGTCGCACTCAGCGCTTGGCGAATGCTCTTCAACAGCGCAGATTCAGGGACCCGAGGTGGTTGAGGTGGTTGGGTGAGCTTTACATAGGTGGTACCAGCGGAGGCGGGAGAAGTAAAGGTAGGGGCCGGGACAACAAATGGATCCATGGCAGATGGGTGTTGACGCGAATACTGCGGGCGATCTATTCCTCAGCATAATCTACACCAGTCCAAAATGAAACACGGGTAATGAAGCACGTACGATTGGAATGGATTATCAGAATTTCGGATGCGCAATACGGGCAGAGGTAGGCTTACATTCAACCTTTGATTGACAAAACAGAGAAACGGGTGTTGGTGAAGATGGGACCGTACGTGTCACGTGGTGACGTGACGCGTTACAACCATCGATTCCCGCCCCGATCATGTTGATCTCATGGCACTCTGCAAATGAGGAAAGACGAAGGACCTCACTATATATCCAAAAAGTAGCACGATACTCCGACAAGAAGGCAAAAAATGAATGCTCAAGCCGCGAATCGAACGCGGGGCGGATCGACTTATTCAATGGCAACGATCCAGGTTACCACTACCCCACTTGAGCTCAGATGAAAGACATTCGAGCCCAACATCCGCGATGCGCGAGTCTCATCGCGATAAATCGTTCACTATCGTATGGATACAAAATTATCTTGGGACTATTAATCTAGACATAAGATTTTACGTATCATCTTCCAGAACCAGTCGGGGCACAACGTTCATTGCCATGAGCTATTTGATGATTGTCAGCCTACCAGCGGCATCGAGACGCGAAGGATCGCACCTCTTGGAATAGTAACTTGGCGGCATAGGGTATCGTCAGCTTGGACACCTTTTTCGAGCTCTTGCAATACGTGCAGTAGCCGTTATAGCCCATCAAACCGCAGTCTTGGCAGGCATCAAGCTCGAACACGTCAGATGAGAGCATCAGTCTCTCGAGTAACAGTTGAGTTGCGCCATAACCAATCAAGCAGTCGCGTTCCATCTCTCCGAGACGCAACCCACCGTCTCGAGAGCGACCTTCGGTCGGTTGACGTGTTAACGCAGCTCGAGGTCCCCTATTTGAAATTAAAAAGGTCAACTTACACCGAAGAAGGCAGTATTGTTACTGACCGAGAACGAGCATGCATTTTGTCAACGACCATGTGTTCTTGCGGTTAAACTCAACGTCAGTACGAGCACCAATGGCAGAAACGCACGAAAACATACTTAATTTCTAGAAGCAAGATTTTTCAGAAACAGTTCTAATCAGGCGTCCCAAGGACGTACCTGGTAGTAAATAGGACCGAAATACGTGTATGCTTCTTGCACTTCCCCGGTGATCCCGCTTGTCAAGGAGTCCTTTCCAGCATAGTTGAAACCGCACTCGATCAAGATCCGTGACATGTCTTCAACCTTGTGGGCGTGCAGTCAGAAATGGTTACACATGCGATCCGGCAAACGCCGTACCTTGGATCCGCCGAATGCAGTGCCATACTGGAGTTTGCCGGTCAAGACACCTGCCTAAACACCACTCTGGTCAGCTGATGGCCGAAAGAGATATGCATATGTCTACTTTGCCAGCCAGGAGTTCAATCATCTTGCCAACAGTCATACGGGAAGGGAAACCGTGAGGATTCATGATGGTGTCTTGAATGCGACATCTCAGTACTCGCAAAGAAAGTGAAAGGTACGTTTGTCCTCACCGGGATTGATCCCTTGATCATTGAAAGGGAGATCCTCCTGATTCACAATCAGGCCGCAAACACCTTTTTGACCATGTCGCGAAGAGAACTTATCTCCGAGTTCTGGCCGGCGCGTCTGACGAATGTTGACCTTGACCAAAACCTGGTCATTTTCCATGTTCGTCAGCATAACTTTGTCGATATAACCGTGGATAGGACTCTTGTATGACATTGGCGCGTTCTTGTAGGATATCTTGTTTGGATCGACAGACAGCCCTTGAGTATCGGTAGGAACCTGTTTATTGATGTAAATATCGCCCGATTCGATACGTTCGCCCGGACCACCGAGGCCATCGGGTTCTACCACCTCGTAGTTTTTAAGTGGATCGCCGTTTGGGTCTTTAGGAGGGTCCGCTAATCGGTCAAACCTGCACAGGTAGATAATAAGGATACAAAACCATAACCCAACTCGACAAAAATGACGCACGTCCCGTTGGAGTAATGTTTGATGATAGCTGTGTTCTTCCTCATAACCTGGCATCGACCATAGCCTCTATCCAAACTGGCCTGACGGACAGGAACGATTATCACCACTGCGCTTGATATCGGACACCTGGCCACTTACCTTATTCAGAATCAAGGCATCCTCGATATCATACCCCGAATAGCTCATCACCGCGACCGTCGCATTCTGCCCGGCAGGTAATTTATCATAACCGACCAGCTCGATCGTCTTCGTCTTGACCATCGGTTGTTGCGGATAGACGGAGAGATAAAGAAGGGTATCGATGCGATTGAGCTGGTTGTAAGCTATCGCACCAATGGCTTGTTTACCCATGGCACATTGATAGGTATTACGGGGTGATTGGTTGTGGTGAGGGTATGGGATGAGCCCAGCGACAGCCCCAAGGATGGTGAACGGTTCGATCTCGAGGTGTGTCGTGCTCGGTTGGATCATGTGTTCGTACAGGGCAATATGAGAGTCGTTTTCTTCGTTAACATCCAGGTATTCTACCAATCCTTTGGTCAAGAAGTCATCGAACGATACGGAACCAGTCTTGAGAAGCTGGTAGGGAGAAACCGGATTGAGATGGTTGAGTTTCATGCACGCGATCGCATTCTACTTACTCGAATGTGGTCGGCGGTAACCCGAGGACGTTGATGCTCGACAATAATCATCGGCCGACAGATTCGGCCTCCGTCACTTGCAATATGGACAGTTTGGTGATGGTGGTTAGTGTATATACTGACGAATTCGTTGAAGCGACCCGCTCTTCGAACCTTGCGGAAGTTGGTGACAAACCGATGTGGCATGCGAGTAAGTCCGACAATAGAACCGTTCACATTGACCACAAAGGTTCCAGGCGAATAGATCTCCGCTCCTGTTGCCAGCGTTATGTCTACGGGCGCGATCATTGCATCGACCAGCAACATGAGTACACATGACGAGACGTACCTTCAACCCCAAGCATGAAAGCAAGTCGTATGATAGGCTCTTCATCCACGTCGGTCGTTATGTGGGTCATGAGTGCCAGATTCTTCACTAGACCGCAGGCTTCGCCCTCAGGGGTATCACTAGGACATAACACTCCCCATTGACTGGTTTGCAAGGAGCGAGGCCCAGATACCTTTCTAGTCTTCTCGAATTGCGACGATATCCGAGTCATCATCCCAAGAGCCGAGATAAAACTGAGGCGACTGAGAACGTGAGTCACCCCGGCGCGCTCCATCTTGAATCGTTTCAGCGACCAATTTCCAGTGCTAATGGCGCGAACGAAGCCCGCAGTGATAGCGTCCCCGTACGTCATGTACTGGAAAGCGTCCATAGCTTGTGTACGCGACGTCTTCTTCAGTTCCTTGTCCACGAGAAGCTTGATGTCAGAATTGAACTTCTTGAACAAGTCCTCAAACAGCAAAGAGAGGAGCTGTCCTGCACTGCATGTAGTGAGTCAACGTGGAGAGTAGGTGCCGGAGAGGAGCGAGACGTACAGCTCAAGCCGTTTGTTCCCAACGTAGTCTCGGTCATCCACCAGTTTATCGTCGTCCATGGCCATTAGAACCCTCCGAGTCATGGTTGCAATATAGATGGCCTTAGGTTTGAAGTCGAGGTTGACCACAGGAACGTGAGCAAGTACGATCGTAGCCAGCGCCTCGAGTGCCTCCTCCCAAGGCGGCCGTTTCACCACAACGCTGAGACCAAAACCGCGTTTCCCCCTCACACGGGAGCCAATATATTCCAAAGCCTGATGGCGAGTGAAGACTTCTAGTTTGGACGCCTCTTCCAAGTTGATCGCGAACGTATTTTTGTACGTTTCTTCATTGCCTGCGCAGAGGAGTAAAATTTCCTTGTCCGATTGGACTCCCAACGCCTTCAGAGCTATGACTATTGGGATGTCTTCTGAAAACGTGTTGTGTCGGAGATAGATCTTGGAATGCTTCGTCGCGACGTACGTCTTTGACTTGCGTTCATGGGTTGATGAGGTGACCGTTGCCTGAACGATGTTCTTCACTGGATCCGTCTCTACAATGATTCGGTTCTTGCTTAGCTGTTCTTGAACAAGAATGACCTTTTCGGTGCCCTTGACGATGAAGTAACCTCCGGGATCCAAAGGGCATTCCATCATTCGTGCTAGCTGCGCGTGGTTTTTGTTCTCCAGTACACACTTGTTACTCCGTAGCATGATGGGAAGTCGTCCGATGCAGATATCTGACTTGCGGATAATTTGCCGTTCGCGGGTGTACTCGATGGTTACCATTATGCGGCCTGAGTACGTCTGATCTCGTAATCGGCACTCGTGAGGCGTTATACTGCGGTCGTGAGCGTTCTTGTCCGTACGAGACGGGTGTTCAATATAGATGTTCGTATATTTGAGGAAGAAGTGAGGGTCGACGTCGGAAGTGATGAGATTATTCGCAGCAAGGATATTCTTGAGGTCGACATCAACAAAGTAATTGAACGAGTCGATATGTTGCTTTACCAGCCCCTTGACCTTCAGAAAGGCTGGGAGCAATAGCCATTTGTCCTGTGCGACACAGCTCAGGCATCGGTCGCGTGTGGTAGAGAATGTGCTGACCTCGACGTTCTTCACGGGATCAGTCAAGCCAAGTCCTTTCCAGCTTTGCCGATTCAGGTCTTCCCACTCTTTGAGGTCTTTCTCCACCTGGGCGGCTCTCTCTGCTTCTTGACGGGCACGCTCCTCAGCTGCTTTGAGTTGCTCAGGGTCCAATTTCTTGGGAGGTAGTCGCCTCACTGAAGAAGCCCCACCGCCCGGAAGCGGCGCTGTTGCCCGAGCCGGCCCCTTTGCGGTCGCTGGAATTGCCGGAGCAGGGGCCTTTGCCTTTTTGGGAGGCATACGCTAGAGATGCGACAAGGTGGAATTTTGTTTGTGACCAGCGATCAGGCACGACCGTTCCACGTCGAATTTGTCGGACAAGCCTTGAACCAGCGACAAATTCATGACCCAATACGCGAATTACATCACATAATAGCTATGTACAAGTCCCCCACCTTAATCTGAATAAATCACGGGAATAAGGAATGTACTTGATTCTCTGTGCGTTGCGACGCGGTGCACGTCCATCTGGGCAGCTTCAAGGTTGGGATACCAGCGGGTGGAAGCGAACTGCCTTCTTGAACGATTGATTTGAGCTGGCAAATGACCTTGTGGAAAGTTCAGAGTGAGTTTGGCTTTCGGGGGTATATACCTCCCTCGATGGGGGTCGGCCATACGCGAGAAGACGTAATTGAAGAGTAGTAAGGCCTTGGATTGCTCTCTCTCGTTGGTCGGTAATCTGCTCGAGCCTTTCGGCACAGACCTTGATCTTTGAGCGGTAGTGAACCAAGTCATGCGTTTGCCTCTGGATATTGGCCCTGAGAATCGCATTCTCGGACTCGAGAGCT